TAATTGCATACATGGCCCGCACACTTGATTTTGCTCACTGATTTATACCTGAGACTCGGATAGACTGGCATCTGTTGTTGGCCCCTAACTTTTGGCCAACGTCAGTGGCGAAATGAAGTGCCCGACTCAACGAAGACGATCGCTTCCCGTTTCCGTGGGCGAAAGTTCTTTGAGCTCGAGCCCTTTTCGCTCATGACTTTCGGTAAAAGTTTGGAAAGTGAAAAGTTTGCCATAGAGAGAGCAGAGCTCGAATCGATGATTAGCAGCAGCCTTGGAATTGAAAACGCAGTGGGCGGTGGTGGTGTGGGCGCGGCCTTATGGCCAACAGCTAGTTATAAAGTCATTTCGTTGTCTGAGCGAATTTAGACCCAGAAAAGTGCCACATGAAAGCGTCGCCATCGCTCGGAATGGCCCACTTAAAGGCGCCGTGATGCCTGCCACAGATCCTTTGATGGCGATAAGCAGACAAACTGGAGGAAAAAAGGGAAAACAAGGAGCAGGCAGCACCCGAAAGCCGCTTAAGGTCCTGGGAACCCTGTCCCTGCTCTCGGCTCATTGCATGCCACGCCTGCTTGCCTCGAAAGGCTCCGCCTTACCGCAATCAAAATTGTTACTTTCTAAGCCAATATGTTTTATGATGTATGAAATTTGATGTTGCGATAACATTTTACACGCCTGGCTGCGCTTTATTTTTTCCCATCTTAAAGGCCAAATGCCGACCTGGGCTTCTGCTTTCGGCCAGGCCTTTAAAGTGCCCTTGTGGCCGTGTATTCTTTTCATTCTTTCTCGTTTTTTCTTTCTTTTTGGACCCTCTTCTTTTTTATAGTGGCTGCCGCAATCAACGGCAAAGTTCAATGGGGCAAAACGGATGCCAAACTGCAACTAAATTCGGCTTTTGCCAGTGAAATATTGTCAATTTCCCCGGCATGCAAGTGCGTGTGTGTCCTGTGAGCTTTAAATGGTGGCGAGGCTGAAAAGCGCAGCTTCTCGCTGTTGATTTTTATCCCCGCACTAGACCCGGCGATTTATGCCCTAAAAGAGAGCGAACCAGGTGCTACGGTAGACAAAGTTGCGCAAGACTTAGTGAATTCGCCACCCCGCCGTTATAGGGTATCATTAAATATTCACTGGCAGTGTGACAGCTCATGAAAGTGGAACTAAACTGGGAAAACATTCAATTATATGTTCATGTACATATTAATGAAATTCCCTTTCTAAAAGGTACTGAAAGTTTTCAAAAACAATCTGCTAAAATTAAAAAAAAGGATTCAGCAACTCTTTCAATACAATGGTAAAGCTTGGGAAATGTAGCAAAAGGTTAAAAGATCAGTTACTAATCATAAATATCAGAATGATATAAAAATAAAATCATCAAAAATAAAAATGTTATGAAAATTTCACAAAAGATTTTCCCTTTGGAAATCCCTCTTTTTACCGAAGCAATTTTATACGTATTAGCAGAGCATTTAAGCCTCGACTCTTTTTCTTTTTTGCGGAGACTGCCAATTGAAATGTGTCACCATTTTGTAGCTTTATGCATGCATCGCTCGCTCCGCAGGGCTCCATAAAAAACAGCGCTTATCATTCGCTTTTCTGGCGGCCATTTTGGGGAAGCGTTTTAGCTTAAGCGCCCATTTTTTTCGACAAAGTCTCCATCGCCTCCCCCACGTAAGCGGCCATTTTTGTTGGCTTAAAATATTCTTTTTTATGCGCTAACGATTTTAATGCGCTTTGGCCATTTTTATGAAGCCACTAGCCACATGCCCGTCCGTTTGTCCGTTCGCCTGTAATTTTGTTTGAAATTCATGAAGCGCAGCGCGGTTTTGTAAGCGGAAGACTTAAGCTGCCATTTGGCCAAAGGATTGGGGGTCGCTATGCAAATGCGATGGCCGAGCTGGCTTAATTATGTATTTAATACTGCAGTTTGCATAATTAACCAGTGCACTTGGAGTGGCTTTTGGGAGCTGTGTGTGAGCAGTGGAACCATCTTGCTGAACGCTTTATTCGGCAGCCTTTTTTAAGGCGTCTAAATGAGATGAGTTAACCATTTAACGCTTCGATGCGACAGGGCCAGGAGGACGTGCCTCGTGCCTCGTGCCTCCCGTCAGCCATTGTTTATTTATGTCGAGCGAACGCGACAGTGTGCGTTGCGTGTGAAATTGTCACGTCAACGGGAAACCAGACCAGAGAAAGTCAAAACGCCTCGGATTCCGTCTGCTGGTGGCAGTTGGCTGGCTGGCGGATGGCACCTGCCGTTTGCTTTGACAAGAAATCAAATTAACAGCCCGCAACGTCTTGGTGTCCCAGCTGCCGCACTCATCTGCTCAGCAGGAGTGTGCTCGTGAGGCATTACTCATACGCCCCGTGGTAGATAGCTCTCAAGTGGCTCTTTGTACCAACGTGTGTGCAAGTGTGGGTTCGGATTTAAGTGTGTGTGTGTGTGTGTGTGTAGCCCAACCATTGACCCAAAACCCTGGGGCCTGGCCAAAGTGGCACTAGCCTAAAATGACTAGCACTCTCGACCCTCCATTCAAATGCATTTTCCCCAGAGCTGCCCCGAAAACAGAATCCCTTGTATGCATTTATTCGTGAAAAACTTTTCCACTGCCAGCAGTGAGTGTTTTGCATTTTGTTTTGCCTTGACCAAATGGGCGAAATTGTTAACTTTACATTTAAGCAGATTACAAAACAAGCGCACAGCGAACGTCAACTGGGAATGGCTCATGGCTCTTGGCTCCCAGCTTCCAGTGTCTGACTCCGGGCTCCTGGCAACCAGTTTCCCAGGCTGATCCTGTTCATGTCAGGCGCTGCAATGCCTGTCAGCCTTGTGTCAATCATTTGCCACTGCGGCAGCCTGTAACTGGCTTTAGTGCGAAGATAATTGTTTTTTGCTGCTGCTGCCGAACTGTGTGCTCTCTGTTCCATTCAGGCTTTAAATTATTTCGTCTCGCTTTTGTGTGCAAGTCCGCCAAAAAAAAAAAAAGAAAAAAAGAAAAGGGCTCTGACTCCGTGACAGTGGCCTAATGGATGTCGGGCTTTGCTCTCAATTGAATGTGACATCAGTCGTCGACCCACACATTCTCCATCACCCACCACCATCCAGCGGCAACTGCTAATTGCCACCGCCTATTTGAGGCCAAAGCTAATTTCGATTAGGCAAAGCCGCAGACAGCATTAGAAATTTCTGTTTGGTTTTGGTTTTGTATATTCAATTGCAACTGCGGTTGGCCGGTAAAAAATCAAATGAATTCTGAAAAACCAAATGGTTGAAAGGGGAAGAGTCTATCAAACAAGCGATCGCAATCAGTTTTCAACAATGGGAAAATCATTCGGGGATTTACAACCAGGTAAAACCACGATTAGGTGTTAGGTATTTTCAGGTATTTTGTGCTAGCCTTTAAGTTAAGAGCTTAACAAGCTAACAGTTAATTTAAAATTAGCTCCTTTTGAATTAGTTTGCATAATTTTAATTAGGACAATTTTCCTTTCCAAAATACGAAATCTAAACCCAATACTTCTTATAAGATTGTACTTATATTCACATATAAATTGCGTTGGAAATTCAAGCTGAAATTGCAGTCATCATTTGTATAAATAATTCATGAGAAGTATATCACCGAATTGTTCGATTCGTTGGTAGCATACTCGAATATACATTGGCAGCGTCGCTGGCAATGAGTGAAAGCATCGTTGATTAATTTAATTATGTGGCTCGGAGCCTGGCGAAGGCAAACCGCTTCAGAAATCCAATTGAAAAATATTTTATATTTTAATTGAATTGCATTAAAATTCAATGTGCAATTTAATTATCATCGGCGCATCGAAGGGCTGTTGACGGGTTTCAGGCATGCCAATTGATTTGGCATCGGCGGCGCGCCACATCCCAGGCATCCCAGACATTGACAACATTGTTTTCGCTACCGCATTTCCAGCTCCGAGTGCGCATCATTTGATAATTAGTAGCTCTGCCTCGATTCCGTTGGCCAACACAACAAACGCGCTGGTTGCAATAATTGCATATCACTATTTGGTTGCATGCAAATGAGCGGGAAATAATGAGTCTAACGATGCGTTTGGCTCGTTTAATTTGTTTCAGTATTTTTTGTTTGTTTTAGAGCCATCTACATCAATCTTCGTCAGTTGGCCACATGAAATGTTCGGTTGAACTAGTGGGGTTATATTATACACAGAGAATAAAAGGTAATGATAAAATTGAGATAAGTATTTACTTGAATTACAATCTGTTAAGGCAAAGTTTGCGTACATATTTTTAGTTATTAGAAAAGCTTTCTTTAACAAGTGATTTTAGTAAAGTTCAATAGCTTTTAAATAATTTTTTTACTGTGCATTTCTTGGCTATATAGGAAGCAGAAAAAAGTGTGGGCAGAAGGCGAGCGAAAGTGCAAACTTATGTGCATTTTTGTGTAGCAATAACCGCTGCCGTAAATTCCATTTGTGCGGCATGCAAATCCGCCCCAAGGAGGCGTGGCAAGCCGGCATGTTGGCAGGAATTTGTGACCCGGTGCTATCGAATGCCTGTGAATATTGGCTGGAGCAGTGGCACCTGCTGCGCCGGCTGCCACTTATCACCCAGTTTCCCATGAGAAGTGCTCGCAAACAGGGCCCAAAAAAACTTCGAGGAGGAGTAATAAACTTTCAAAAGCACCTTGATACCTTCTTTGTTTTAACTCTTTCCAAAACATATATTATTTATATTGCAATTTTATCACAGAGGCCCAACCTGTGTTTTATTGGCCACACAATAAGCGAGGCACTTACCACCCGTTCTCGACTCGTTGACAGCTTGAAGCCTTTGAGGGCAAAATCGTATTGTCCTTAATTGCTTTTTAAAGGTCTGCAGCAGACCGAGTGAATCAACATCCGGCCTGCAGATAGATGTTGAATACACACACACACACACACACACAAGCAGGTGGAAGATCGCAGGGCGGATGCCCATGCAACATTTGTTTCAAGCAATTTACTTCAACATAATCATATTAAATTTTCTCCGCCCACTCGTTTACTTCTGCCGAGTCCTTCTGCTCCTTCAGCTCCCGTGTGTGTTTGTGGGGGGCGGGCACATCGTTTTTGTCTAGCACTTGCCACCTGGACTCCAGACTGGGCCTGTGTATCTGGAAAATTATACTTAAAAGCTGGGAGCGTCCTCCGTACACACTAACATACACACTCACACATATACATGTGCGTCTGACTTTGTAAGCTGCCGGCTGACACCAACGGAGAGAGACTCGGATACACACAGTTGCAGGACGTACTTTTTATAGTTGCTCTGCGGCAGGACGACCGGCGGTGTGTCCTGCTCTGACTCTTCTCAGTCTCTGGTGTGTTTGTGTTTTTTTTTTCTCGTCCTGTTCTGCAGTTGTGCCCTGCCCAGGTCGTTGGCTTTTTGCCTCACATGGTGGGCGTTTTCATTTCCTTGCCGGCAGCAACATGCAACATCCAGGGCGGTCCTTTCTCGGCTACTGCCTTGCCGTATGCTACAGCAATTATAATTTCCTTCTAATTTCATTTGTAATAAAGTAAAAGGCCTTGCCACGGCTCGAGTCATGCGGTGATTATGCAAATTCCCTGAAATCCATTCGCCACACCCAATCATTTTTGCAGTTTATGTCTGAGGAAGATCATTCCCTTGAAAGTTTTGCCATGAACGTTTTCTGGCTGTTGGGTTTCTCGGGTAAAAAAAATATATATATTATTTTTTGTAAGCTCAACTAAAGAAGGTTTTTAGTGTCATTTCTAGGTGCAGTTCAGGGCGAGGGCAACTGTTCGGTTTGCTCTGCTTGGACCGATCGACCAGTTTGTGGCTTTAACAATGTGTGTTACACCAGTTTTAAAACCACCTGCGAAATGGAAATGCTAAATTGCAAACTACCAGATCCATACAGTAAGTAAAACTATTCAAGTTATAAACAAAAAAAAAACCATAATATTTTTTTTTTTAGAGTTTTTTGAGGCTCCGTTTTATGGTCACTGCTTTAGATCTACTGTACAAAAATGCAAAGCATATCACCTACTTGAACAGATAAATAATGTAGATGCATCCGTCGAAATGTTTGTTTGACTCGTGATTAATTTACATATTACTTTTTACAAGTACTTTAAAGAAAGTTTTATTTATAATTAGCTTTCACTTTATAAAAGAGCCATTGATTCAGCACATTACAGCTGGGAAATGAAACCGAATAATATTAAAAAACAATTTTCTTAATCCTCATCCACTTCAGGCTCTTTTCACAGCCATAATAGTTTGCCAGTGAATGCAATATTTTACTTATATCAGCCAATTTAACATCAAAAGGACCGGCAGTTCCTTTTGTGGCAGCGGGAGGCTGAGAGTTCGTGGTTACCCAACAGTGCAGAACGGCCATTAATATGAGTCGCTTTTTTGCAACCTTTGCTTTTAAAACAAACAACAACAGTAGCAACATAAAGAGGAATTGCATCAGGCATATAAATGGATAAACATTTATTGCAGTTTATTGAAAAATTGGCGGTTATCGTATACAGTTGCGGAGCAAAAGAGATGCCAGAACTGGAAAATTTGCACAACCGTTAAGCGTTTTAATTTCACACAAGAGACGCAAAGTGCAATGCGCTACGTCAATTTGGTCGAGCACTTTGGGTAATAAATTTTATTCTGTTCAACTAAAACGTTTTAAGAGTAGGTCAACCCATTTATAAAAAAATATTTTTCATAAAACAAAAAAATTGTTAAAAACTATGAAACCAGAAATCGAAATGAACTTAAATTTTATCCATAAAAGTATGAGCGTCAAAAAACAGTGCAATTAATCAAATCAAATAAAGCTGGGGAAAAGTGAAACGTAAGTATAATCGCTAATAAAATTATTACTCTTTAAATACAAAGTTAATAACTGCATTTCCTTTTCCTCGGTGACATTTGCAGAAATAAGTGTTGCTTTGCCTGAACAACTATAATTATAATTAAGCCACTTTAGAAATTATTTAAATTGCATGTCTGGGGTCCGAAGGGTGCACCATTACTCGTTGGCTCACCTTACATATATTTATACAATTTATATTTGTGTTGCGTGCCTGCACTTTATGGCCACGCAGACACTTGCCGCGACGCGGCACACGGGCTGCAGTAAATTAAGTCGTTAATATCTTGTTTATCATGGCCTCCATTGCTGCTGGTCGCCATTGCTGGCCATTGGTCATTGGCCATTGGCCATTGGCCATTGGTCGCTGTCCGCTGTCCTCCGTCCGCTGGTCGTTGGCCATATGTTGACCCAGGTCGGGACCATGCTCCAGTTAATTACATGATTTATGCGCATAACTGTATGCATTGAGCTTGATTTATGAAATTAATTATTATAGAGTTTACTGGCCACGTACGGCGATGGTAAAAATTTTGTTGCATACCACATAGGCGCGTTCGAAGTGCTAATCACTTTATCACTTGCAACGAATTCAGCCACCCAGCTCACGCACACACACGAGTGTAATTTAATTTTATTGAGCCAGGCACGAACGAGCAACTAGGATATATATAGTATATATATGTAAAGAGAGGGACCGCCCCGTCCAACTAGCAACTCATTATAACTGTTTTATTAGCTGTTCGCGCGCGGGAAACTCTGGCAGGATCTCCGTTCTCCTTTCGCTCCGCTTGTTTCATTTACACTCGCTGCCTGAATTACTTTATTAGTCTAATTAAATGCGCCACTTGTACGCAAAATGGCACGCGGTTGCTAGCGTCTAGCAAACAATTAATGAAATTAGCAAAGTGTTTTTCTGGCCTCCGCTAGCGAGAGAGGCCCACGGTCTAATTAGATTAATTAATGACTCCGGTCCGGGTTCGATCGGAAGCCCCGAACGGTAGAGCATTATCCTGGGCAGCTGCAACCCGCTGATTTGGCATGACACATGGCGAAAGCTACCAGAAACACCTGCCACAAAGTAACGCCACACCCGATGCGACGACATCGGCGATTATGGCTCCGAAACGGAAACGGAAACAGGAACCGCTGGCATCGCGACCCACATGCGGCCCAGGAAGATATATACAGCCCGGGGATTATGTCTGCACCGTGGATTTCGCAGAGAGCCACCATGGCACTCACACACACACACACAGACACACTGCAGAACCCCTGGCTAAACGTAAGCCAGAAACTCGCACACACAAGTAATTCTCTTTATTCTTTCCTGGCAGCCGTAAGTTTTTAAATATTTACACATATGCGAGAGGCAGCCATGGATATGCTATTTGCATGGCAGTGAGCAAGCAAAAAAACTGCTAACAAGTTGATGCTCTACTACTTTCTAATACAAAACCTATTTGAGAAATAAGGAATATAACTTCTTGCATAGATACATTCCCATTTTACTAATTATTTCTTCCCAGTAAATTCAACCATTGCCTGAGTCAAATTTTCAAAAATACCACCTGAAATTCGATCAATTGTTTTTAAAGCCTTCCTTTTTGCAAGTCCCCCAACCTGTCAGAGCCACTTCCGATTCTTACCCCCTCTGGTTGTTTTAATAATCAAGTCAGGTAACTTCATCTGAACATAAATTCGCACTTATGAGGCAAAGTAGAAAAGTTTCGTAAGCCCTACACTATCTGCAATCGACATTCACACACACACACCTTTGGTGTGTTGGGTTGGGGGGAAAAGGTGCTGCGGCAGTCATGAAATATTTTTGAGAAAACAATTTTGCAGCAAACAGTTCTCTGGCACTGGAAAAACTCGACAATGCTCCCAACTATGTAACTTGGTTAATCCTATTGATTTTGATTTGCATACAAATTAGAATCTGCACAGCCACACTGGGGAATTCCGGGTGGGAAAGGACCCGGGAAGTCAAGGGCTCTCAAGGCAGTTGGTTAGCAATCTGCCAAAGGACTAGGACCTAACTAAAAACTCTGCCAGCCTGCTGGTTGCCGGCTGCCTTCTGCAGGCTGCTGGAGGTGGGAAAAAAGTGTTTAACATGTGTACAACCATATCCACAGCACAGAGAACTTAAGCTCCTTACGCCCTGGCATTAAATTTCAATTTAAGCTGGACGCATCGAGGGAACTTCAGCTGGGTGCTTGCGAAGCGACGAAGTGCGAATGCTTTGTGAAACAATTAGCATCTTGCTTAATTGTTGCCGGAGCGCAAAAACGGAGCTGGGGAATTCATGTGGGGATGGAATTTAAAAACATTTTAATGGAACATAAACCGAGCTCAAGGTGGTGGAATACATTTGGTTTTGCCACTTACCACCCCTCGATATTCAGTAATGGAAATGGGGAAAAGCTTTGTGTAAATATTGCAAATTTCTATGTAACCTCGAAGAGTTTATACAATGTTTTACAAAAAGTGGGAGTACAAAGCTTGCAATCCAATGATTGAATTTTTAAAAATATATTTAAATAAATTTCATATGTGCAAGGGAATATCGAGTAAACGAAGGATATATGTGTAAATTAATTTTAATGTGCTGCACATTCTTCTGGGGATTCCCGCTTCTTGTGCGTGTTTTAATATCTTTTAATTTTTCATTATGGCCTGCCATCTGCCTGAGCAAACAGCATATGGCCTATATGCTGAACTGTGCGTCTCCGCGGCAAGGAATTTCAATTAAGATTAATTCGCGCATGCATAGCCAGTTGGGGTTCGTTGGGGTTTCGGGTTGGGGATCCTTGAGCCAGGACGCTGCTGAAATGCCAGGTGGCAGCCCGCTTTTTGGCACCTCCCGCGCCAGCCGTCGCGGTTTCTTTTCGCACTCGGCTGCACTTTGCTCCACGCCTGAGCGCCGATGCGTTATGAAGAAGGGGCTGGGGTGTATTAAGTGGGGGCGGGGCGGCGGCAAATTGTGCCACTTAACGGGTAGCAGCAAAAGCCAAAAGTAAAAAAAAGCAGGGAAGCCAAGCCGCAGAAGCAGAAGCAGCAGCACGGCAAAGAACAACAGCAACAAATTAAAATAAACTTTAATCAGGGTGGGCAAACAAGGAGCACAAAAAAAGAGTGAGTGGTAAAGTAAATGCCGGCAGCGCACTAAGTGCTCCGCTCCATCATCATCCTCCTCGTCCTAGTCATCCTCCTCCTCCCTCGTCATCGTCGTCGTTTTCATCGTGGAGCCCTCGAGTTGTCATCGCCAAAGCGCCAGCTGCATCACCATTGATAACCGGAGTGCTCGACGGGCAGTAAATATTTTTATTCAAGTTAATAACGTTGCTCTAGTTGGCAGCTTTGGTTTGCCGTTTGCTACTCTGCTTTTGCCGCTGCTGTTTCCTTTCTGTTTTTGCTTATGCAGCCAGCCTGTTTACGGGCCAAGTCCTTGCCCGCGTCTATTTACCAGCACTGCAGTTGTTTACTGAGGTTTCCATCATCCGCTCCCTATCTGCAGCTCCTCTGTTTGTTCATTAGCCGCTCTCGGTCCGTGGCAACATCACCAGCAGCAGCAGCAGCAGCAGCGGCAGCAACAACATCAGCAACAGCAACAGCAACAACAACATTCGAGGCTAAAAGGAGCGGCGGATACATTTTTACTCGTCGCTTGTTTTATGCGGTTTCAAATAAATTGCCAGCGAGCATCATTTCCGCTTCCCTTGCTGCCCAATCCCTTCCCTCCTCTCAACCCCTGAACCCCATGATTAAGCAGCCACATTTTCGCTCACTCATCAGAGGGCTCTAGTTGCACAAAAAAAAATTATATTTGTTGGTAGTTTCAACACAGGTTGTTATGTCATAAAAGAAATGCCGATTATCAGTGAACAGAAAAATATTAGACAACATCCTTCAACGAGTAAAGTTATAAGTAAAACCAAACCAAGATTGATTTGGATTTCAAGACATCCTTTCTCCCAGTGCACCAATGCTCTTTGGTGTGTCCGACATCCTGGGCACCGCACATGACCGCCACCACCGCATTCCTGCAGGATACAGCTCAGCCCTTCACTTTTGAGCAGTAGTTACTATTTATGGGCAACACTTTGCCGGCTTGGTGAAACGACTGCGACTCAAGTCGGGACTGAAAAGGCAATTAAATGATTATTTGTGCTTTTACTTCTTCCCCGTGATTTAATGACGTTGTGGAAATATGTTTGCTGTCTGCCACGAATCCACGGGCGCTATGTAATGAACAAAAAACAATTAGGCAAAGCTCTCTGGTCTAGAAGCGCAATTAATATTAAGGGGTTACATGGGTTTCCTGGGGTAAAAAACGGCCTTTTTTCAAACATTTTTTTTGCATATAAAAAATGAAATATTTCAATGAAACTTTTTATTATTTAAAAGATACATGTTTAATAAAGATTTTGTGAAATTTTCAAAAAAAAATATCAAAACGTCGGCCATTACGACGCCATTTCCGGCAGTCCCTCGGAAAAAAGGTGCCTCCGCGTTGTCAGCAGAACTTCTTTCAGGATCGTCCAAAGTAAAAATAAAAAAAACGTGTTTCAGAATAGACAATAAACTAGGTATTGGACGAAGGAAAAAACAAAAAAATGAAAATTGGATTTTTGGCAGACGTTTTTACAAAAAAATGCAAATTTCGATGAAAATTTCTCGACATTTTTTTTTTTTAAATAGTTGTAATTGAAAAAAAAAAAATCCTTCGTTCAATACCTTGTAAATGATATCTCGAATACTTGTGTAAAATTTCATTAAGATCGGTTGAGTAGTTCGCGAGAAATTTTGACAACCGACTTTGAAAACATAGTTTTGAGAAAAACGCGTTTAAAGTTTTAAGAGACAATAAAAGTGCTCTCAAGCGTCCACCTTCTCAAGGCTGTATCTCCGAGACTATTACTCGGATCAACTTGAAAATTTAGGACAATACTCTAGACATGTTTTAGAATTTAATAAGACAAAAAAAAAAAAATCGATTTTTTGAAACCCTGAAACCCATGTAACCCCTTAATTTGAATGGGTTTTTATGTGTTCTCCTTGAATGCGCCACCTTCATATATCATAATTAGCAGAGGGTCAGCGGTTCAGAGGGTTCAGCATATGGCGGAGAACTGATCAGAAGTCTGAAAAAGGAAACAAATTTGCATACAATTTGGCGCTACCTTTTTTTTGCCCTACCCTAACAATTTTTACTTTTCCTTATCGTACTTTTTTACATAAATTTCCACTTTTGTGATTTGGGTTGTACTTTGAATAAGGGAGGATAAAAAGGGCTTGATTAATGTTTAACCAGAAATTGCTGAGTGCCCAACCAAGCATAAAAAAACTGACTTCAAGTGCAGTTCGTTGTCGGACTTATTGACACATACTTGTACTTGTAATGACAATTACTTAATTGAAAACACACAGCCAACATTGCCGAGTCACCGAAATTACTTTGACAAACTTCGATATTTGATGATGCGAGTGAATGAAAACTTGAGTTGACTTGTCGACTACAAAAGGACAAGAGGGTTACATTTTCAATTTGGGCAACTTGCATTTGCACACAGACATTGATAAGGTTATTGTCGCACTTTGGATAACATAATACTGGCAGCAGGCCAGATCCAGAGTAAATAAACACAGAAACTCAGACACGACGACCAAACAGAGACAAAGTAATTTGCACTTGTCCTCAACGCAGAGCCCCTTCATTGTCCTTCAAGCCCAAATGCCTCCTTGTGTGTGCCCAAATTCGAATTCAGGTGTTTCCTGCGCGTCTCCGTCTGCTGCTTTGCATAATTATTATTATGATTGCTTGAGTTTTGGTAATTTGGTCATGCACAAATGCAATTTCGTTTCGAAGCTCGAGACCAAATTTGCGCCATTAGTCCATCGCACACAACCGCATCTGACTTTAATCAATTTGCATCGCAAACAAGTGATTTTATAACTAATGGGAAAATGTTAAGCGCCGCTCAAATGCAGGTGCATCGGCATAATTCAGCAAATGTCTGCTGTTTTCGCAGCAGATAATATCTCAAATATAATAAATTCCGTTCTAAGCTAAATACAAACAATTACGCAATTTAATCAAACATGCTCAGCTTATTTGGCCAATTTAGATAGATCTGTTTGTATTTGTTCGTTTTCTTAATAATTTCTAAGATTTAAATCTTCATATTTACCTGCTATTAAATATGAATTGCCAAACCTTGGAGCCAATTATCATCATGCATCATGTTTCCAAGTGAAACATTTTATGTTAAAACGAAAAGTGTATATGCACAACAGCGGTTTGATTTTATCAGCCCATAAAATATAAATATTTTCATAGCTGAAAAACTGAAGTGCGGAGCCAAAGTCGCTTGTCTATTTATTTTGCAAGAGATTTCCCAGCTTTAATCTGGTTATTTCCTTTTAAATATGGATGGGCAAACTTCCTTCCGTTCACAAAAAAATAGCTTTCGATTTGGGGCAGAAAAGAGTGGAGAACTTGGCAGGACTCCCAAAAAACCCTGGGGCGGCAGATACCCGAGGGGGCAGGGGAGAAGAGGGGAGGGGGATGGCGGTGGCCCCACCTGCTGGGCGCCATTTCCTAATGGCCGCAATGTGCGCGACCATTAGTGAAACATATGGCCAGTCGGAGCGGGACGGACCTTCTTTTGGGCCAAACTTTTTCGCTTGCCTAAACGTAACTTAATTTTTTGGCTTTTTCCAGCGACAGGGCAAGGGCTGCGGGTCAAACCCAGCTTGTTACCTGAACCGATCCGGCTCTATGGGGTAATTGGTCCCCGGAGTGCTGTAGCTACTTAGAGACATTGTGTGGTCCAAGCTGGTTGCTCCTAGTTTGGTTCCATTCCCCCCATCCCTTTTTTGTCAACCATCTCGACATATTTATGGCACAGGAGTGGCGATAAAAAACGCTAACCGCTTCGGCTTAGAGCGTTTTTCCTTTTCCAACTGCGAAATTAGCAACTGCACTAAATTCTCCCCTGGAAATTACAAGCTAAAGTTTTGTGTAATCGGCGTCCACAAATTATAGCTACTTTTGGAGGTCCTTAAAGTTCACGGGAAAGGCACTTAAAGAGGCGAAGGAAAGGCAAAGCCGAAACCGAAACCAAAGATTTCCACTTGGCTAAAACTGCGTGATCGCTCAGGTGTGGCCATGTGTGGGCCAACTCAATTTAACGCCCTGAAGGCAGCAAAGTAGCAGCACAAATAAAGACACACAGCATTCCAGGGATTGCTAGCTCATAAATACTTAAGTAAGCGAAATGAAAGGCAAAACCCGAGACAAGACCCAAGTCTCCCGGAAAAAGGGAAACGGACAAGAGCGGGAAATGGCACCGAGAACCCGAGGTGCCCAAAGGTGTCCTCTGGGTTAACAAAAGGTTCAAGCGAATTTTATGCGTTTGTCAATAAAAACCGGAATACACACAGGACCCCTGCATAGAAGAAGGTGGCCCAAATATGGGAAACCAAAGCGGACTAAGTGCCCGCATATTGACCTTCGTCAGCAGGCCAAGTTCCTCGGAGTCGCCATTTCCCATTTCCCAGTTTCCCAGAGGGCAGGCAGCCACAAGTCGAGAGCAAATAATGCTGAGCTGACTCGAGTGCCCCCCGTTGGTGGCTATTTGCCCGGAAACGTGTGGCACGGAGATAGAGACCGTGATTTAGCGGGTCCTTCACGTGCGACGATTGCTTTGCAATTAGCGCCATTCCAGCAGTTTCCTCTCGCTCGTCGTTAATTACCCGACGCTTCTGCACTTGAAGTCTGTCCGCCGATGACCCGCCCATTGACGACAGTTTTGTGACCCGTTCGAGGGTCCTTCTGTTCTCCGCAGCTCTCGGCTCGCGCCTAATGGCTAAAAAGGCCCTCATAAATTTTTGGGCCATGCCGAACAACGGGGCGCATACGTAACGTCTAATCGTATGTAAGAAAGCTGGCTCCAATTAGTCGTGTCGCTTTCGAGTGCCCTCCACACTCATCCTTGCCCTCGTTTTTGCTGAGAGTGTGTGAAAATACAGGGGAAGAAAAAATGGAGAAAATTTCATATATATTTAACAATAGCTTCACGGGAAAACAAGAAGTAATAATCATATTAAATTATATATAAAAAATAAAAATTAATCAAGTATCCTGCAATAACTATCACTTAATTTAAATTAACTATTTTTTAATGCACTTAATATGCTTTATACATTATACTTGCTTGCTTTCATAGTTTTTTTTCCAGTGCACTGGTGATTGTGCTTAGAGTGCCCTGCCTAACGAGCTGAGATGTGGGCGGAATCCCAACAATGGCTCCGAATGCGGATGCACAATGGCCCTGTGAAATGGCCGCGGGCTCTGCCACTTGCCAAGTGTCAACACGTGGGGCGAAAATAGGACGGCAAAAAATGGAATGTGAAATTTTGCGACATTTCGAAACGGAGAGCAAACGCAAATTATGGAAAACAAAAGGAAGTCCCCCATAAACATTTGTTTACACCAAAAGCATACAGAAAAAATGCCGAGCCTTGAAGCAATAAATACGCAAATCAAAAACGCCACGGGATAGTCTAGTATATCAAATTTCGGGGAGTGCGTGTGGTGAGCAAGCCAGCTAAGCTTTCAACAACTCCGAAACTTATTCGGGATTTGGTATTTGATGTCCTGGTACCTAAGGACACGCAAAGGCCACTGAGTTATGCGAGTGATTCGCGACACATTCCTGTTACCGTGGCCTTAATGTTTAATTGCCCCGAAATGGAGAACTTGATGACTGAGGCGTTAGTTCGGGTGGCTATTTACGACAACTTAAGCCTGTCAGGCCATAACTACAGGTAATGACTTCATTTCGCCACTCCCCATTGGTAGCTACCATCGGGATCTCGATTGCCAGCAAGAATTGCATTGCGCAATGCACTCCCCGAGTGGCATTCAACAGAAGTGTGAATTATAAACACGCAGACCTTGCCACAAGGCGTCCCCTTAATAAGCAGCCCGCATTCAGCGGTCAGTGGGAAAAAACGTTGAAATTTCTAGCGATAATAATCGGAAAACGAGCAAAAAAAATATGCTAAAAAATTGTTCAATTAATATGAGCTGCCTTTGAGGGAGAACTGCAAAGGGGGGGAAAAAGAAAAAAACTGGAGAGACCCGGACTACAGCATGTAAAACGAAGCTAACGCGCATAATTTTCACACACAAACAAACTAACACAAGCGCACATTGTTAATGCCATGTAATTAAGCGCATGCTAAAAAGTATGCAACAATAATGTCCCGCATCCAGGGGCGTCTCCATCGGGGGACTTTGTGGGGCACAGTGCAGGATGCCACCTGCTGGAAACGTAAGGTCTCCGCCAGTTGCTGCAGTTAGTCCACCGACCACCGAACAATCAATAATCGTGCTGCGAGGCGTGGCACGTTACTTTAATTGGAGCCATGTCAAAAACAGGCAGGCAGAGTGTGGAAAAAATCAAATTTATTTTGAGCCAAAGCGTACAAGTGCTGTTGGCGCATGTGCCAGATCAATCAATCCACCTCTACATTACGCATTCGTCGGATGTCGGTAACTGCCCGTGCCGCAATCAAAAAGTCTAAGGGATCCCTAACCAAAAAGGATATATTACTACCTCCGGATATAAAAATATTACAAATTCAAGTTGGGGAACAAAAAGAATTTCAAGAAAAAACGTCAGCAAAATATTTTAATACTTTTATTCATGGAAATCTATTTAAGGGTCCTTTGTTTTCTGTTATCTTTTCAGACCATATTTTCCCCTTGGAATTTTCTTTTGGTGTATCCTTCGTTATAGTTGGAAACTCATATGTGTGTTTATGAACTTGTCCAGTTCTCGGCGGCGGCGGTCCATTGTTTTCCGTCGCTCTGTGGTAATTTATGCAAATATGCCCAGGGCTTGATACCAAGAACAGAGCAACACTGGGCCAACGCACGCACGCACACACACTCACACGCAAACACACACAGGCACACGCAACACTAAGATGTAAACTATTTAGCAAACATTTGCATAAACATGGGTGTGTGGGCGGTGTGCTTTGGCATAATGAAAAGCCGGACAAATATTTGCACACTAACAAAAGTGAGCCGCTGACGGCGGAAAAGAGTTGAGTGATTCGCCAATCACAATAAACATTGTGAAAAAATGTACGGATATATAATTTTAATGGAGCTGTGCGGTTGCACGTCCTCATCTGTATTCGTTATGGGGCAACTCCTGTCAAGTCCAATAAATTTAATAACGCATGCTAAAACCCTAAACAGACGCGCACACGCCAAAAAGAAAAATAAAAGCGGGAAAGCTCGGCGTTGGCGGCGGCAAATGGTTAAAGTACAAGTTAAATAGGGTGCAGCATGCGATGAGCGGGCGACGATGGCGCTGGAGAAACATAAACATTTTCCATTCAACTTAAAATTGTTTACAAAATAATGTGAAAATGGCTGCCAAGCATGTGTTGCCTGTCGGTTCCCCCTCCCCACTCCACTTTTTCCCCTCTTTTTCATATGTGTGTGAGTGCGTATATGTGTTTATGTCAAAACGGCGATAAATGTTGCTAAACAGGAGCAGGAATAATAGCAGCAGTGCCTGTGTGCAAGGGAATCCATGCCAAAGGCATGGATGCTGGTCCTGCACTCCACAAAATATGTATCATACAATTCATAAAACCTTTTCCTAATTGTTTAGCAAGCAAAAGTCATAAACCAAACTAAAGTATCTGTCGGTGCAACATTACTTGTTAGAAATAGAAAACCTTCCAAATTAATTTAATTTGTTTGAATTAAGTCCTAATTTGGTAGATGAAATCTACTCACTAAAAGTTCGAAAGTTAAAAGAAAACTTTTGTAATTTCATGTCAAACTTATTAAAGAACCAGATAATCTTTTTCTGAGTGCTGGCTGTTGCCATTGGCCGCTGCTGGCTTCCGCCATAAGTTCAATGCTTTCTAAATACCAAAAAAAGGAAATAATCATTGGCGGAGCGGTCTTTGCATTATACAACGATACGCATACGCCATGTTGGCCGGCTGCACAAAATGGCAGTCAGCGCACGAAAAACGGGTCGCCATATCGCGTGGAGCTGCGGAGTTTTATGGCCTGTTAAAGGCAACATTTTTATACATTTCACGCGCTCACATAAATAACGATTATGCTGCAGCCAAAAGGGGCCGAAGGTTTATGACTCTTCGCCCAAGAATAAGATTGCCGGGCCCTCGACTTGCCTAAATGGCTTCATTTTGCGGGTAAAAACGCCAATTGACAGCTGCTGAAATAGACGAGTCTAATTTATGTGCCAGTGCCGCGCGAGCGGAAAGCGGAATGAAAATCTAAAAGTTTACTCCATATGTGAGCTGCGCTGCTGCGCAAAGTTTCCGGTAAATTAAGCCAAAGTGTTGTGGTCCACAGCCAGAAGATACCGCATTCCGCACTCTGCACTCCGCACTTCACACTCGGCAGCCAAGTCGCTGGCAAAGTTTGGGTTGAATTGCTCTCGAATTCGAAGACAAAACAGTCGGGACAACAGCAGCAAGAGCTGCAGCAAAAGCAGAAGCAGAAGCAAAAGGAAAATTGTCGCTGGCAGCTGTGGTCGTGTTGCAAAATTGGCAACAAGGCTTCGTCAGCGGAAATGCAGACACGCACTCGACGACTCCGTGCTGCAAATGTGTTGTCGTTGCTGCTGTAATCAACACCCATAGTGGCGCACACTCACACACACAGACACACACATATGCACTCACCCATACGGTTGCCGTGGTAAAACCTCAAAGTTGCAATATAGTGAAAAGTCAATTGCATTTTGATGTCGGCAGCAGGAGCCAGAATGGCAGGAGCAGAAGCCACAATGCATTTGCAGGGCAAGTTTTGCCGTATAATGAAACAATATTCAATTATTTATCAAAATAATGGTTGGAAGCCAGTTGGAGAGCCAGAGAGCCAAAGTCAATCAGGACCGGAGGTGGCAAACGCTCTAACCGAGTTAAACCTTTCAAGTGTTCTTCCTGCCACACCTATTACATAAACAAAATATATTTGTATAATCAACATGCAAATAAGCGTGAAATAATGCATATAACATTTTAGTATAATTTGGCAGTCATGCATAGTGTTTTACGGCAATCTGTATGACTCGCTATCAAATCAGGCATTTTCCGGCATTATTGGGGGACAAATGTTTATAATTAGCATCGATTAAGGTGTCAATAATTCGCTTCATGAAATATTCCAGTTTGGCCAGCAGGTAAGCGCCAAATTAGTTAGTTATGTTTGTGTTTTCCAGATGAATGCCTTGCAAATTGAAATTTAATTACATCAAATCAATTTCGCAATGGAAATTAGCAGTTTCAGTTGGCTGTGCCACTAATGAATCAGGCAATTGAGTTTCGCAGAATTCATCCAAATTAAGTAGCCATAAATTTCCACTTCAACGAGGGTCACTCCCCTTTTTGGGAGAACTATGTACACTACATATCGCATATCGCATTTCGCATTGCATTCGACTGGATGAAGTACTCGAGCAGGTGTCGTGTCAACACCTTGTCAAACTTTTGCTTCGAGTGTGCCAATTGCTCGCAGGTGGCGACAAGGACTTGGGCAACTTACTTCTATTTCAATGCATGTCAACTGGGAGTGTCAGTTGCCCTTTTTGGCCACGATGCGCATAAATGAAAAACGTGCTACGCTACTATGCTGGAGTTAACTGTTTCACTTTACCTTTGTGCAGTTACAGCTTTTTTTCGAGCCAACTTCTCTCTGTGCAAATCATGATTGACATGCGAATTGCCGGCAAAGTACGAAAACTGAGTTTCCAGCAAGCCACTTTGTTTGCATTTCGCTGCAGCTCCAGTCTCCCATTACTTTTTGAAACGAAAAGTAACTTGACTTTAATTAAGCAAACAGCAAAGTGAATGAAGTTGATAAAAGTTTGTTCAATTGATTTTGCCAACGACTGGCAGTCGTAATTTTATAAACACATTTTAAAACACAATTAAGCTGAGACAAAAGTTGGTATCATTAAACATTTTAAGTTAGTTCTGCGAACTGATACAAGTAATTTAAGTTGGCCATTCATAACGAGTCCCTCGCTGCTTTCCATAGAATTCAATTAAGAACTTTTCGTGTCTGACGCAGGCGGGCCAATTCAACTTGGAGCTTGTTCGACATTTTACTGCTATTGGCCAGCAACCTCTTTTCGGCTTTCTATTCAAAACGTAAACTTTCCTTAAGGTTTTCCTGCTCGAAATCGGTGGCCTTGTGAACTTTTTCTACACAAGGGAAAATTTATTACACAAGATAATCAAGATGGTGAAGAACGGAATGTATTCGAATTATATTCTCCCCGCAGTTCTATAACAAAGTATATCTAAGCTTTCTTTGCGTGCATTCTTATTGTGTTACGAAATGAATAATTTAGGCAGCTCAAGACCGAAACTTTTGACAGCGGTCAAGAGAATTTCTATTCCGAAATTTATTGCGTAATTTTATGATGACAAATTAATTGTACGCCCTGCAAGTCAGCTCTATTCTCGGCTGGGATTGCATTATTAAATGGCGTGACTGGGGACTAGAAGTTCATTTATTATGCCAGACCAGTGGAAAGGGATGTGCTCCGGTCGTTTGTGTCGCCGGTCGTTATCTCCTGAGTGCTCCTCCGCATCGATTCCGATTTCGATTCCGATTCCGCTGCCACTCGACGACTACAGTCGAGAACTTGGCTTGTCATTTTTGCATTCGCACAGCAGTTTGAATTATTGGCAGCATAAAAACGGCGACCGGCAAGTGCGTGACGTTCAGCTGCACTCCATGTTTGATGCTGTGCGTCAGCAGCCGAGTGCCCGGGTTTTTGAACTCCCACCAGCCAACGTAGTCAACCTAGCCAACCCAGCCAACCCAGCCAACCCATCCAACCCAGCCACCCCAGCTGGCTTTTCCGAGCGAATTGCCGTCCATTCAATCAGCATTTCAAGGATTTGAAGTGACAGTCATAATGCAGTCGTTGCATTGGGAATTTGCTTTGTATCTGACAGTGGCAACGATGAAGTGAGACAGTGCTGCGCTCGAAAGTAGGCAACCCTGACTTGTTTGAAAGAGTAGTAGTGGGTGGGGGGGTGTGAGGTGGTAAGGATACGTTAGCATTACGTAAGCGGTCGGAGATTTCCGCTCTGTGGCAGGTAATTGACTTACAACACTTGGCACTGTTTAACTGACATACTTGACTGCGGCGAAGGCGCAAAAGTACCTCTTAACCAAGGTGAATTCGTGTTGAAAGCTAAGAAAGAAAGATACTAAAAGAAGTGGAAAACCGGTAAGTATGCTAAATGTTGCTCAAGAATTATAAACTGTAAAAGGAGATATTTTTTTGCACTAATACACCCGAGCTTTCACCTAGCAATCCGCACACGACTGACCCTGGCGGTGCTCTGTTGCTTTTCGCTTCAACAGGCTAAAGTTTATGGCCAAAAGCCACAACCCACATATCCCGCCGCCCACAAAACACCGCCCTTTCCACCCGGCCCCGCCCCCAACGCCTCTGACATGCCGCAAAAGTGACCTGAGAGCAGGAATTGCACGTAGCCAAAACTTGCCCGTAGTTGCTCATACTCGAATTTCGGTTTTCTTTTTGTTCCACTTGCGTTCTTTCTCTTGTTTTTTTATATTTTCACCACCCGCTTTGTGCATTTTTGTGCTAAGTTCTCTCTATTATTTGCTCCGACCACATTTTTCTAGTTTTTGCACGTTTCTACTTTATTACCGTCCATTCCCCACCCGGGTTTTCGCCTTTATGGCCTGGTCGACAGAAAAAATGGCTCCCACAGAACAACAAAGGCCGTCGGACAGACAAACTGCGGTCAAGATGGCCAAGATGGGCCTGCATTTCTCGCACGGGTATCTTAAACTAATGCTTTGTGCCGGCCAATTTCTAATTTCGAACATTTACAACAATATAATGTAATGTTTGCTTCCAACCGCACGAAAAGTCGATACTACATAGACAACTTAACAACTTAATGGCAAGCCGCAAGTAAAGAAACCTTATAGCAATCCAGGAGACAAAGGGGATTTCGATTCCGATTGCACTTGTTTTTGGCACACAAAAGGGATCTCGGAAAAACCAAAAACTGAACGACAACACTTTTACCGAACATAAATCAATTGATTGCTTGCACTGAACAAAATACAACAGCAGTTAAAACTTTGAAATAAATAAATGGATGCTGTCAAACGAAAAAAACTCGGGGCCCCAATTCCGCTCTTGCAGATGGCGAAACTTATCCAATTTTACTCCAATCTTAAAGTGGCATACCTTTTAACGTTGGTGTGAGAATTCATAAACAAACTGCGTTAAAATTTTTCATTTCGGAGATGGTCGAAATTTTGACCCCTGTTCATGTAAGAATTTTTCAGCTTTTCGATGGTTTTCAGTATTGTGACTTCATACAGACCTTCCTGAACCTATAACTCAGCCAATTTGACTCAGATTCCAAAGTGGCATGTCTCTAAAGATTTGTGATGGACTTACAAAACGATCCACGTTAAAATTTTTCATTTTGTAGATGGTCGAAATTTTGACCCTTTTCATGTCATAATTGTCCAAGTTTTCGATGATTTGCAGTATTAGAACCCAAAAGTGACTTTCTAAAAGCCATAACTCAACCAATTTTACTCTGATTTCAAAGTGGCATACCTCTAACCGTTTGTGATGAGATTCCTAAGCAGGTTGCGTTCTCATTCTCGGTCATTTAAATTAAATATTGAAAAGGGTTATTCGTCCTGCCTTGCTTTTTTTTCAAGTGGCATTTACATTTTAGGAACTTCTTTGTACTTTGAGTGTAGTACATGCCTCGGCACAAGTCGGGCCAGAGAATCAGAGCGATTACTTATGTCAGCACAAAAACACAAAGCAGGACAATGGATCTGGTGCAAGTGCCCTTGCAAAGTGGGCTGAGGTGAGCCGCTGGGCGGTGGGTGGCGGGTTGGGTGGTTTTTTGGTTGAGAGTGCCATTAGCAGCATCCCCCGTTCAACCGCCCAACCGCCCAAGAGGTCAACAAAAAGGCCAGGACTCCTTCCACCGAATGTGCACCTGCAACTGCAGATGCGGCCGCACTCAGCCAACAAAAGCCGAGCGGGATGCAAAAGCATTTCGAGGTAAACATGTTGGCAAAGTGTTACAAGTGTTGCAAATCTCTTTGGCCGGGGCGGCCTGCGGTTGGCCCCAAGCCGATGGAGTTGGCCAAGTGTAAGTCCCGGGCTTAGGTTGGGGCGATCGGAAAAAGTAGTTTGCCCGACACAGTGTCGGGATTATAAACAGTTTGACTTTTACTCGGCGCTCAGCCCCTGGAAATGAGCAAATCAAGCCCTCTCACAACATTGTTGGGTCAAACGGGGTTTGGGCCCATTGCATATTTATAGTGAAAGCAACTTTCTGGTGTCGTGATTTATGAACGTTTCAACTTTTCCACCTTATCAGCAAAAGTTTCAGACATCCCGGAACGGAACGGAACGCAGTCTGGCATATGGCTGCGTAGGTGAGGACTTTTAATATGCACACAGACCCGCGGAAAACCCCTCATCATCCTTGGAAAAGCCAAGGGCAAACTGCGGGCTGGCTGGCTGGCTGGTTGGCGGCTTCTAAACTTTCGCGCACAACAAAATTCCGCAAAGCATTTTATCACGTTACGCTTTCAACTGGCTATAAAAATGCATTCACATTCTGCTTGGCTGGCTCTGACATGCGCCATTTTGCCGCCACCTTCCTTACCCTCAAATAGAAAAGCCCGCCCCAAATACCATTTGGCCCTAAAGCGACGAGGGGTCTATAAAAATTATGCCCCTAAATCGGGCAACGTTGATGTTGATAGTGTTGTAGACGAGTTGATTGGGGCCGTATTTACCCTACTCAAGCGCTGACAGCGCCTCGCTAAGTAAACCTTTTTTGATTTTACTACGAAAATCGATTGAAAAATTTATAGAGAAGCCA